TAAATATATCGCAGATCGCGCAGCTCACACATCCAGGAGAAAAGAAACTTGTCAACGCTGCCCCACGACTTTTATTAATAACAGTTTAAATACTGAATCGCAACATTATATTTTCCAGCAACGAGAGGATAAAATCTCTGTTTATTAAGTAAACTCACTCTAAAAAAAGAGAAACGCACAGACGCGCAAACACGCAACTTTCATCTCTCTCTCTCTCGAATTGGCAATATTTGAGAAAAGAGTTTAACGATTTTCTAATTATTGGGGGGACTAGCCCTCCTCAATGTCTACAGTGGTTATAGCCCTGATCAGACATGAAAATATGTTGTGGCACTATCGTGCAGTCTACTCTATAACGTTAGTTAGCAAATATTAGCGATTTTTTGCAAACATTTCTTTGAGTAACATGACCATAAATATGAACTCACAATTGAATGTAACATAAAACAAATGATTACTTTTCATTAAAATCTTTATTAAAGCCAAAATTGCTTACATTTATGTGTATTTTTGTTCGCTCGGGCAGCCATGTCGGCCCTGAAGCCGGTTTACGCGGAGATAATTCATACCCCTTCATTTGAAGTGTGGTCCCGAAAGATCTTCCTTCCCCTACCCCTCCCCCTCCGACCAAAAGAGAATTGAGACACCCCTACCCCTTCACGTGAATGCGCGAAACGGAGGGGTAGGGGAAAGGGGAAGGGCTAAGGGGTAGAATTGGGATTGGGCCTAAATGTTCAGTTGTTTCTCCATTTTATAAAAGAATATTCACTGGTCTTGTTTTTTTAGCACTGATGCAGTCCAACTGAACCCCATTTACCTACAATTTAATATTAGCACCCTATTTAATGTACTCAGTATTTACTCTATATGCACATTATACTATAAGGAACAAAAACTGAATGCATATTCATGAGTCCCGCTGAATAATCAGTTTCAGTTCAGATTTCGGAAGTTAAATTGCAGTTTTATGTTGTGTTTAAGGTGTTGTAAAGCTTACCGTTGATTGTGAAGCTCACACACACACACACATATATTAGAGATCGCGCAGCTCACACACACACACACATATATTAGAGATCGCGCAGCTCACACACACACACACATATATTAGAGATCGCGCAGCTCACACACACACACACACACACACACACACACATATATTAGAGATCGCGCAGCTCACACACACACAGGAGCAAAGAAACTTGTCAACGCTGCCCCACGACTTTTATTAATAACAGTTTAAATACTGAATCGCAACATTATATTTTCCAGCAACAAGAGGATAAAATCTCTGTTTATTAAGTAAACTCACTCTAAAAAAAGAGAAACGCACAGACGCGCAAACACGCAACTTTCATCTCTCTCTCTCTCGAATTGGCAATATTTGAGAAAAGAGTTTAGCGATTTTCTAATTATTGGGGGGACTAGCCCTCCTCAATGTCTACAGTGGTTATAGCCCTGATCAGACATGAAAATATGTTGTGGCACTATCGTGCAGTCTACTCTATAACGTTAGTTAGCAAATATTAGCGATTTTTTGCAAACATTTCTTTGAGTAACATGACCATAAATATGAACTCACAATTGAATGTAACATAAAACAAATGATTACTTTTCATTAAAATCTTTATTAAAGCCAAAATTGCTTACATTTATGTGTATTTTTGTTCGCTCGGGCAGCCATGTCGGCCCTGAAGCCGGTTTACGCGGAGATAATTCATACCCCTTCATTTGAAGTGTGGTCCCGAAAGCTCTTCCTTCCCCTACCCCTCCCCCTCCGACCAAAAGAGAATTGAGACACCCCTACCCCTTCACGTGAATGCGCGAAACAGAGGGGTAGGGGTAAGGGGAAGGGCTAAGGGGTAGAATTGGGATTGGGCCTAAATGTTCAGTTGTTTCTCCATTTTATAAAAGAATATTCACTGGTCTTGTTTTTTTAGCACTGATGCAGTCCAACTGAACCCCATTTACCTACAATTTAATATTAGCACCCTATTTAATGTACTCAGTATTTACTCTATATGCACATTATACTATAAGAAACAAAAACTGAATGCATATTCATGAGTCCCGCTGAATAATCAGTTTCAGTTCAGATTTCGGAAGTTAAATTGCAGTTTTATGTTGTGTTTAAGGTGTTGTAAAGCTTACCGTTGATTGTGATGTTGCCTGCGGTGCGAGGAACTCCAACCAGAGTAACAGGATAGAGGCCAGACTCCGCTGGCAGAGACAGAGCAGCAGGAAGAGACTCAAAATCTACACCTGATGTCAACAGACCCTGCCAAACACAATCACAGAGTACACAGCAGTCAGTAGTATATAGTAGAATTATTTATTTTATCCATAATGGCAGCATGAACGCTCTGCTTAACATCTCCTTTTGTGTTCCATGTAAGAAAGAACACAAGGATGAGTAATTAATGACAGAATTTATCATAATTTGATTTGTTTTCACTTTAATACCAATAAAATAATAATAATAATAATAATAATAATAATAATAACAATTATTATTATTATTATTTACTAAATGGTTTTATTTATTAGTATTAAACTAAAAGTGTTAAAATAAAGAAAAAATAGATATATAAATATAAATAAAAAATAAAGTAAAAAAAACATTTAAAAAAACATTTACATTTTAAATAAATAAAAAAATCCATTTTAAATAAATCAATTTAAAAATCATAATAATTATTATTTATTGAATTGTTTTATTTATTGGTATTAAACTGATTTTTTTTTTTATAAATTGATACATAAATATAAAAATAAATAAAAAGAAAGTTTATAAAGCATTTTAAAATAAATTTAAAATAAATACAATTATATTTACATTTACATTAAATAAAATGTATAAATTCATAAAAAATAAACAAATGTTAAAAAAAACAATTTAAAAATCAATAAAAAAAATGTATATTATAAATCTTAAAGGGGTCCTATTATGCTTTTTCACTTTTTTAATTTTAGTCAGTGTGTAGTGTGTATGTTTGGGCATAAAAAAGATCTAGAAAGTTACAAATCTCAAAGTCCACTCCAAAGGGAGATATTTCGTTTTCAAGAACTACAGTAAACGGCTCGTTTGGACTACAGCGTTTGGTTTCCGGGCTTTGTGATATCACAAAGCGGCTCATCGGAATATCATTACAAATAATTCCCGCCTACAGAAATTCGAATGGTTGGGGGGTGGGGAGGGGCGAGGTCGTGGTTA